TTGGTGTGAATGAGAGCCAGATCCCATGGCTCTACTATATGAGCCAGTGAATTGTGGCTAATTTGGCTGTTACAGCCACTGGTTGGCTGCATTTTTAACTGTAAAACTTGATGATTTTCTGCAAAAGGAACAATATGGCTACAAGCCTGAGCTTTAATGGAATATGCATCCTCACAGAGAAGTTGGAAATAACTAAAACTGAAGTCTTAATTCACCTTCAGTTTAACCTGTGGATTTGTTCAAATACTAAAGATCCTCAGGTTCAGAATTCCAGCATCATTTATTCTTTAAAACAAATTTTTAAGAACTTGATCCATCTTATTAGTACCTCACAATCAAAGTTGGCAAATGATGGATGAATGATTCAAGCAGTGCACCCGGTGGAAGCTGAAATCCATCTGTGAATGGAACTGATGTGAACGTGAATATGCTGACTATATCCTGGAAGCATTTTTATACCATCTTGAAATTGCAACATACTGGCATTGGCCAGTTTATCCAGCTGTCTTTTAAGAATAAAATTTGGGGTTTTCATGGATCACCTCTTCTATATTTTAAATGGATTTTCAGTAGAAATGATTTTTGTTAATCAAGTTAATCCCACCCCATCAAAAGGTATTTCTAGAAATGTCACAGGCCTAGGAAACTTTGAATTGAATGGGAGCTAATGTTCTTTCCAAAGTTTTCAGGTATTCTTTGTGTGACACCTTCTCAACCAGGAGGCAAGTAACCCCATCTCCACAATCTTAGTATTTTTTTTAACTGCATGCCTGTCCTTTATTTGAGCTGCCTTTTTAATTTATTGCGTATCCTTTTTATTATCTTATTTTGGTATTCAATCTATACAATCTTTTTGTATTTATTGGAAATAAGTAATATACAAAAAGGTCATTTTCATGTATTTGTGGCTGAGAGGGAGATACTTGTGTATATAAAATTAGGCTTTTTAAAAAAAACTAGACTATGACTCAAAATAATGTTGATCTTAGGTTCAAAGAAATAGAAGAGCCACAAACATTGGTGCCCTTTTCAGACTATTTCTCTACTCACATCATTCATAGTAGAATTTTTAAACATTTTTTAAAGCTTTTCTTTTCAAGAATGTTTCCTAAATTGTATGGGAGCAATAGTATTTTTGATGTTTTAATGACATCCGTATACTTGTACTGTATTTTGTACCACAAGGCAGCTGTTTTCAATAATGTCCTGCTGTGTTTACCTATGTATTTTGAGTGTTTTGTTTCTTTGCTGCGGAGAACACATTCCTAGTTTTAGTAAAGGAGATGAGAAGCTAGCATTAGGCTTGCAAAAACTGTTTAAGTTTCAACTCTGAGGCAGCAATGGAAATTAAGGTTGTAGCTATTAGTTGATCGCTGTAACTTTTGCATTTTCAAATCATGTACAATTCCTGTATAGACCAACTTATTTTCTTGCTTCAGTGGTGATTCTGTTGCTCAGCTGCAGTGAGCCAGTTCAATTTTGCAAAGGTGCAGTACCTCTCCTTTTCAAGGGAGTGGTTTATTAATCTTTTTTCTTTTCTTATTATTTGGCTGAATTGCAGTAACTAGCCTTGCCTTTCTATTCTGTAGAAATGACAGGGTCTTCACAATCCTTTACCAGTGGCTACTAAGCTATAATTAGCTGAATAGAAAGAATGTGGAAGTGGTCTGAGGCATATAGAGTATATGCCAAGAACACTACCATGTATGGCATCAGCTTTGGTTACCAGAGAAATTTTCTTAGTCATTAGAACCTATAACAGTTATATATCATATGTAAGTCTTTAGATATCAATTTGAGAATCCTCCAAAAAAAGGAGCAAAGAATGCGTAAGCTATGTGTTGGCAAAAGTAATTTATATTAAAATTTTGATCTGCCTGTGTAAGATTAAGTGTGAATGTCCTAGTGGTGGGTTTTTAAGCCTTAAACCAATCTCTGAGGTTTATTTTTCCTGCAGGGGTGTTTCATCGCCTCTCTTCCACTGTAGGAAGAGATGTAGATTAATTGTAGCATTTCACTGATCCTCATTCCTGTGACTAGGCACAATAGAAATCTGCAGAGCATGGAGATTCATTCATTAATACTAGCTTATTAAAGGAAATAGTCTTTGTTCCAGTTAGATAATGGCATTATACAAACTCTGGGAAGCAACTAACTTTTTTGTTTTGTTTTTAGCTGCTTACTACAAATGCTTTAGAAGTTGTTTTTAAAATTTGGCAAACATCCCAGCTAATGAAAATAGTTACATTCCTTAGAAATAGGGAACTAAGACTCCTTTTCAAAAAATTGAGTTTTATTTCAAACTAGCTACAGAGATAAGCCTTTTTTTTTCAAACCGTCAAAAGAGTCGGTCTCTGTGAAGAGATGTAACTCTTTAGGTTTCTATTGTCCCTTCTCATCATTTCAGCAAGTGAAATGGTAAATCTGGTGAGCAGATCTTTCAGTGCATATGCTGCACCAAACAAAATGTCAGTCTGTATAGCACCAAAAATCAAACTGAAAAGTAAACCAAAAACCCCCAAATACACTATGGAACTGTTGGAGGCATATAGGTGGTACAACTGGCTGTAGCTGTGGTACACACATGGCTACTTATCATGTCACTTTCCATAATTATTTACTGCAGAATGATTGAGAGACTTTTGGTGCAGGCAGCCATTAACCTCCTGCTTCCTTTGTTACCTCTTGGTCACTTTGCAGTAAATTGCAGGTCTTTTAAGAGATTCAAGCTTCGGTTTTCTCAAAACAAAACAATTATCTTGTCTTATCTGAAAATGCAGGGTTGTGGGCAAAAGAGGCTGGTTATAATAATGCCCTCATATTGAGTGGTCTGTAAATGGCTGCACACTTCAGGCACTGTTTTTGCTGAAGATGCTTAAATATGACCTTGACTGGCTTTACAGGGATGTAGAATGTAATCTACACAAGGTGACTGTGCATCTACCTTGCTCTTGAGGTGGATAAAATTAAGAACCTGGAGTGTGTAAGCCATGCACATAAGTATTCTTCACTGAAAATTTTGTTTTCATTTTTAACCCAATTATGTATTTGATCCAATGCACAACTGATCTCTCAGTAGATATTCATCTGAAAATCGTGTGGCCTTGATCAGTGAGAAGGGAGAGGAAAGAAGTGACTTTTTGCTTATATGAAAATGACTTGTTTGCTGAGAGTTGTTCTATAACACTCTAGGTATGTTTTTGATTGTATCCTTTTTGATTGGGGAAAGTTAATGTTTTGATCCTGGAGCTAATTCAATTGAGTTTTCTAAGTATCAGAATTGCTCTGATGAATAACAAAGTTGACAGATTTGATGTCCAATCTCTGTTTATTTTTTAAATATAGTGGAGTGAAATCCCCACTATTATGAATTCTTTAAATCAATATTAATTTAGGACACCTTAAAAGTCTTGTGCATAAGTAAGGCCTGTTCAGAGAGCAGACCTTTTTGCTCCTTTTCCACAATTGTGAAAAAGTGTCAAGTGTTTTTTGCATTGTATATTTCCATTTTATCCCTGACATATTTCTCAAAGATAAAGCACTTTTTGATCATGAAATGCATGGGATCTTTGTGTGATGTGGATCATGGTTTCTCAGACTCCCCTAGATATTCTGTTTATGAATATTATTCTAACTTTATGTCAGGAGAGTAGAAATCTTTGCTAACGTTAGAAAGTTTGTATTGTTGATTCAGAATACATTTTGCCAGTTTCCAATGGATGGGAGAGTAAAAAATGCTGCATTCACAATTTAATAAGTTACTTTCCCTTAAGCCTTAAGGTAACTTTTTCTTTTCTGTCAATAACAGCACTGAAGTTACAGTAAATGAATGAGATTATCAGTTTTCAGGGTTGTTTTTAGAGTACTGTAAATCAATTAGCTGTCTTCTGAAAGAGTTACAATTCCCATTCAGTATACTGGATAATGGGTGTAAGGGTGGGGGTAGGGCAGGGTGGGGGGAGATAGTTTGTAGAAAAGAAAAAAGAAAATAAGAACTATGTTTACCTTAAAATACAGACAAGAATAAAGTCCATATGTCCCATTTGAAATTCCATATGCAAGGTGGAAATGACAAATTACAGCCTCATTTCTTCTGCTTTAATTTAGAAAAAAAGTATTCATTTTTAATATTAGCTTCAGAAGTTTCTTGAGATAACTGGACTCTTGAGTAGCAATTTCCATTGCCATATCTGACTTGACTGTGTAAGTCATCCTCAGACCTTATTCTTAAAACCTAGTTTCATTACTGGAACATGTGCAATCCACTTTTCAGTACTGAAAGTTAAATTCAGAAAATGGAAAAATAAAATTGCATCAGCATTGTAAAGATTTCTTGTCTTGGGGATTTCCAATTGCAATGTGTCCCCCTGAATCAAGCAAGGCCTTTGTGAATGCCTTTTGTATTTCCTAATGCAGTATGGAATATGCTGTCCACTTCTGTTCACAGTCTTACTCTCGTTTGAGAATCTAACTCATGCCTTCTTGGAATTAGACATTCCAATTGGGACAGATAGAACCATGTTAAAACGAGAAGATGCCATATTGTTAGCTTTACCACAGTAAACTAGTAAAAGGGAGAGCACAACTTTATTAGAAGCTAAGCTAGCATGATAGTGAAAGTTTTAACTCAACTTTTCTAATAGATTTTTGAATCCGGGAGCAATTTTTATTTTCCCCATGCTATTTCTGCTATCCACTGACAGATAAGAGAGGGCACACAGTCGGGCTGGGAAGGTGGCTCAGCGGCAGAGCGCTTGCCTTGCATGCTCGAGGCCCTGGGTTCGATTCCTCAGCACCACATAAGCAAAAAGAAAAACGCCGGAAGTGGCACTGTAGCTCAAGTGGTAGAGCTCTAGCCTTGAGCTGAAGAGCAGAGGGACAGCGCCCAGGCCCAGAGTTCAGGCCCCACGACCGGACCCCCCCCCAAAAAAAGAGAGGGCACACAGTGAAATGAAGGGCCAGAGTTGTGAAGAGAAAGTGATAGATACATTAAGTGGCCACTAGCATTTTGCAGAAGGCATGAGTTTGTTCTTTTTTCCTACCTCCAGCATCTCTTCAATGGCTAACTTTTTCAAGACTCACTGAGACCAACTCTTAAAGGCAAAATGTTTTGTCTTGTGTTGCTGGATCAGTCTGGTCAGAAAAATATGTGCTTGGAAATAGAAGGGCAAGTGGATTGTTTCTTCCCTTTTAACATTTCTTCTTGGGAGAAAAAAGTACAAGAGACTCAAAGAAAATGAAAGAACAGGATTTTATCACTAATCACATTTGGAGGTTTTGTTTTAAATTGATAATAAGCATAAATCCTTTTCTTCTACCATGTCACTCTTCTGTGTAAAAAAGCTCTCTGGAGCTGGGCATTTTGGAACATGCCTGTAATCCCAGGTATTTTGGAGACAGAGATAGGAGATCGTCTCCCAAGGCCAGCCCTGGGCTATAAACAAAAGACCCTATCTGAAAAATAAAGCAAAAAATAATACCAATAATAGGACTGGGCATGTGGCTTAAGTGGAAGAGCATTTGCCAAGCAAACACAAGGCCTTGAGTTCAAAACCCAAAGTTCTACCTAGGGGAAAAAAAAACTTGGAATCTTAAAACCCTATAGATTGGACAAAAAGTCTAGAAACTGACTTTCAGTTAGTGTAGACACATTTTTTACAGTCTATCGTTTCGCACATTCCAATAGGAGGCAAGTAGTATTTGAATTATTTTTCAGTGGCATCAGTATCAAGACTATATCAGTGTATCTGAACTTTTTTCTGAAGTCCTAGAACATCTATATTATTAAGCATTTTGTTTTCCTTTTGGACTTTCATACAGATGTCTTTCTAAAATCATTTGTTAAGATCACCTGTTCTGATAGAGTGCTACATAGCATGTTTTTGTTCTGTGGGAATCTTCAGAGACAGTTCTATCTATTGGTAGCTTTGTTAGACTTGGCTCTTCACTCCAAAGCGGGGGACTCATGTCCTTCCAGTAGAGAATCTACAAAGTTATTTCAATTAAAACCAATACTTGATAGCAGGAGACAGCTTCCTGATCTAAATGTACAATTAGAGTTTAGGTTGGCAATTACTTTAAAAGGTTGTTTTTTGTTCTTTTTTTTTTTTTGGAGAGGGTTGTCTTTGATCTCTGTAAATACCAACAAGCTTATACATTGTAAGCCAAGTGCGTATGCCTATGTATGAATTTGTAGAGCTGATTTCTGCTTCAAGTGAAGCTGCACCTTTCATTTTATAAAGTTCCCTCCACCCAGAATCCTATAAATGTTGTAAATAGAACATGGAAATTGTAGTAGTAGGATCAATTTGAGAATATCTGCTAAGAGACCAAAAAGTTCATTTTTTTAAGTACCTTGGTTAATTAAAAAGTAAAAAGATTATTTCTCTTGCTTATTTTTGAAAAGAAGAATGCACTTTAACATAGAACTGCATGGGCAATTCAAACAAATCTGTGAAGTGCAGTACCCGTCCAGAAATCACACTTCCTGAAAACCGTTCAAAAAGCAGAGTCCAGACAGGCTGTTGATCTCACTGCCTGTAGGTTGAAGCTCAGATTCTGAACAATTTTGATACTTGCAGGGCTGCTTCAAAAGAGCAATGTGAATACAGCCACAAGCTTCGGACAGGCCTGTAAAACAGCGGGTCCCGTATTTACTACTAACTAGCAAAACTGACAGAAAACTCATAGAAAAAGTTAAGAATCCTTCCTGCTGGTGTGCACTCCTTACAATAGCAGACTTTTGCAAATGGAGTTTTACAGTCTATATTTAAAGAATTGTATGTTTGTAACAAAGTTTGCGGAAAAGTGAAAAAAAAAAGAATTCTCCTTGGGGCAACAGCTCCCCATTAGGACTACCTTAGCCTGTCATGAGGAATTGCTGGTCAATAGGGACTGTCACCCAACTCTACTGCTAGCCCTTATATCCCATGCCCATCGAGGGCCCAACTACCCACCCTGCCTGCCTGAGCAGGTGACCTGGTTCCTACCTGCCAGAGGAGCCAAAGCCGAAGGAAGTAAGAAGGTCATGGCCACACAAAGGCCACCCACGCATGTGAGCACATGGGCTGCAGCCAAACCTATCCAAGGAGCTCTCATCTCAAGGTGCATTTCTGAACCCATACAGGTGAGACACCTTACCTTACCACTGTGACTGGGATGGCTTTGGTTAGAAGTTTGCCCATTCTGATGAACTGACCAGGCAACACTAGTCGTGCTGCCATTCCTGTGCCACAAGTTCAACAGCCTTGTCCAGGTTGGTCTCCTGGCTTGACCCATAGAGAGGGTCTTATCCAGATAGGTCCCCTGGCCTGAAACATAGAGACTGCCTTGTCCAGGTGAGTCTCCTGGCTTGACTCACAGAGACGGCCTTGTCCAGGTGGGCTCACCTCGACAGACACATAGAGACTGCCTTGCCCAGGTGGGTCTCCTGGCCTGACACACAGAGACGGCCTTGTCCAGGTGGGTCTCCTCGCCTGATGCATACAGATTGCCTTGTCTAGATGAGTCTCCTGTCCTGATGCATAGAGACAGCCTTGTCCAGGTGGGTCCCCTGGCCTGATGCACAGAGACACTGTTAAATCCCTGACTGTGGATACAGAGTCACATACTGCCAGTAGAAAATCCTTCATACTGTCTTCCCATGTGAGAGAGCTCATGTTGGCAAAGCACTACAACCATGGGAAAGTTTCCAATATCTCTTGTGAATGGATAATCAAGAGAAAGGAGGAATCCAAAGGCAAAATTAAAATAACAAAATTGAACAGATGGGTCTGAGATTGTATCAGCTATCATTGCAATTCTAAATCAACTTGAGTATTCCTGGATTTACAAGACACCACCATGGGGATTACTGGAAGCTGTGGATAATGGGGTGCAAATTAGATCCATCAGTTGGGGTGGGGTGAGGGAGAGGGAAGACCAGAATTCCCTTGAATTTGTAATGATCTCAGAGGAGGGAAAATCCATGGCCAAAGGTGACAAAGGAGTTTTACTAGCTGGTCTATAACTGCCTTGTCCTGGGCTACCTCAGAACTAAGAGCAGCTGCAGCCTCCAGGTGGCAGGTTTCTCTCTCTTTCCAGCAGGCCTCTCTATACCACAGGGCTTTCCTCTCCACAGGCCTGGCCTCTGCTCTGCTCCAGGAGGCCTGCCTCTTGTGGCCTTGTGGTGGTGTTAGTCTCACTCTACACCCCTCCCCCACTCTGCTTCTCACAGATTGTCTCAGATGCAATATAAATATAAAGAACACCTTGTATTCCCTTTGCCTTCTAAAAGCCATTATTTAGTTAGAAGAAGAGGAAGAGATTTCAGTACAGAATATGTGTTCTAATAGCCTAAATGATGGTGCTTGATGAGTCTTGGTTCTAAAGGTACAAAAGAGGAAGCCAAAGTTCTCAAACTGCTGTATGCTTTGACAAGGACTATATATATATATATATATATATATATATATATATATATATATATGTTTGGGGGGGGGTCTGGTCATGGGGCCTGAACTCTGGGTCGGGGCACTGACCCTCAGCTCTTCAGCTCAAGGCTTGCATTCTACCACTTGAGCCACAGTGCCACTTCCAGCTTTTTTCTTTTTGCTTATGTGGTGCTGAGGAATTGAACCCAGGGCCTCAGGAATGCAAGGCAAGCGCTCTACCACTGAGCCACCTTCCCAGCCCTGACAAGGACTATATATTTGTCTTCTGATCTATATGTATGACTAAGTTATACTTGGTTTACTTCTTTAACATTTTTTACGGAGACAGTCTGTTATGCAATGTGGTTTCAAAGGCACAATAATTTGTACAATCGTTTATTCCTAAGTATGCCTTAAGCAGAGCTAACATGTTACATAGTTCTTCACCTTAATAAATATGTCATATAAATTTAACCAAACTTCTATTTTGTATATTTGCAAAGTACAAAGTAAAAAAATTGAACATTTTTTTGGAATTTGTATTTTGCATACTCAGGATGAGAATTAAGTTTTAAACAAGCCTATAATATTTTATGTGAATAAAATAAAATGGGCTCATTTTACAATCGATCTCCCATGACTGTGGTGCCAATTGCCCATTCCCATGTGGGATATGCAGAATCCCCCTTCCCCCTGTAGGGCAGGATTAACAAATCACTCCAGGATCCTGCTGCTGACCTGACCACAAGGGTCTTTTGGTCCACTGGAGGCAAAGAAGTCTTCCATTTCACACTGGGGCTGCAGTCCAACTAAAAGCTCACATGTAGAAGCCACCTTGACTCCAGCGTTCATTCCAGTTCTCTTCTCTTCCAATTAACTCTGAACCCACTTCAATGTTTCTGGGTCTTCCAAGGTACTGTACCCTGCTTTATTAACTGCAATCTTCTCAAGTTCTTTACACAGGACACATCAGTAAGCACCCATATTCATGAGCAAAAACTCCACTAGGAAGAGACAGTGCTATCTGAGCTGCATGAAATAGGAAGGTGTAGGTAGAAAGGTCTAGGTTTTGTGCCATGCCACCTCCTTCAGAGTCTGCATGAGATATCATGCCAGATAAAGCATAAGCTTCAAGGAAGCATGCCTGCAGGAAGGGGGTGTTAGTTCAAGGTTTCCCGTACACTTGGCTGCACCTTTATAGCCTCTACCTTTATTCTTACTATATTCTTCTTGGCTGTACATTCATTGCCTTTATTCTCGTTTTGGCTATTTTTCTATTGATCCACGAATAGAGCATGTTGTTTCTTTCCAATCCAATGGAGATGGCTTCTCTGAATAATAAAGACAAAAGATTAAATGTGGGCAATGCCACAATCAATCTATCATTTGATGTGACACTGCCTCCAGGAACTCCTACAATTTCACAAGCAGTTTTGTGGCTCATTCATAGTAAATATAGAAATTTAAAATCTCTAGATATGTTACAACAGGCAGAATTAATGAATTAAACTAAGCCAGAAGGAGTTATCCCAAAAGCACAGAGAGTTCTAGAAAAAGGGACCCCTGATAATTAAAGGAAAAAAAAAATTCCCCAACAGTTATGACTACTTTTAGTCCAGCTTACATTATAGGGAATAGATGGTGATTTCCCACAAAATATAAAGTTAGTG